GCCTTTACCAGGCTCACAGCCCGTTGGTTCAATGATTCCAAGCAAAACTATTCCTCTTGTGTGCCAAGAAGCAGTGGCGACTGCTCCAGCCAAGCGTTCTTAGCAGGAAGGGCTTAGTTTGGAGATGCAATTTTTAGGGTAGCCCATGGCGCAAACGCGTTTGTGATCGGCGGAGCTTGGGTGCCTGCAGGCACATTTCCCACAAACATGCGACCCAAGCGTGCTTCATTTGGCTGAGCGAGAACGGCTAGCCTGCAGCGAGTGGCGCAACTTGCTGTTACACAAAAATGGTACCAACCTCGATGTTCATAGTAAGGCTGCCAAAGGAAACTATTGTTTTGATGCACAAAACCTGAAGGGCGACGGGCAATGCTGCACCTTGCGCCACTACCAACTGGGACGTTTCACATTGTCTGTGCTCCATGGCCTTGCAGATTGAAGACCCAAAAGCCTGGCGCAAAGCATCATAGCCGTTGGCTATTGAAGGTCTCCATGCGCTAGCCCACAGGGTAGGGCAGGAGTGGCCACCAGGACATGATCAGGCCTCAAGTTGCCAAAAGCAGTCCTTGACATCCCTGGGCTGCAGCCTCTCACACGCATGGGGCCGTTTTGAAAAGCGGGCAAGCCCAGGCCTGCTAAAAAGAAAAGGCACACGAGAAAGGCCAAACACTGCGAGCAAAATGGCCGAGCGCCCATGAGCAAATGTGCCTGGCTATGGCCACAACATGTGGATCAATTCAGGGCCTTACTTTTCGCAAGGCCAAAGGCAAAACCCTAGATACCCACCAACCCCCCCAACCAATGGAACACAGAATTATATACATATGTGTGTAAAGCTTTGTTTTGGTAGAAGCATCCTTACTTCAATGTGCTGAAACGCAATGATGTTGAATGTTCCCCGTGTTGGTTTTCTCAGAATTGAACCTCTTACTGAACACATGTACTTATGTTTTTCTCGGTTCAGGGGATGTTGGCAAATGGAAGCAAGGCAAACCTCAATCTCAGGTAACCAGCCTACTTGGTGTGGTGTGGATTTGTGGTTTGGATTTGGATTTGAAGGGGCCCCTGGTTCTTGTAGAGGGTAAATGGGAAACTGGCCCAGAACACCGCCGAACCACACCACCATGAGTGGAAAGCTGATAGTTGGTGATTCTTCTGGAGCGTGGTGGTGGTCTCCGCTAAACCACTGATGAAGAATTAAACTTCCAGCATGGGATCTGGGAACAGCCCAGTCAATTGGCGGTTTGGATTTGGATTTGACGCCCTTTTGGAGGAACACCTCCAAACCAGCAAAGCAAGCCACCAATTTGGCTGGAGAACAGGAGCTGTTTGTCTCGAGTGGGGTTCCATCCCCGGAATGGGTGGCTTCCTAGCCCCTTTGAAAACGATGAACAGATCTCTACTGCTATTGGGTTGAACCTTGCGACTTGAACTTTTTGGATTCCCCTCATATTTCCACTAAAACCAGAAACAAGTTACAGTTTTTGTTGGGGGATCCCGCCAGCACCCAAGAGATTCACAACAGACGAGCCCATGTCTCTTTGGAGTTGGAAGCCGTCGGCTTAGTTTTAAAGGGCCAGATCCGAATTCCCACGTCTTCATGAGGTACCTCGTGCGCAAGGAGAGGTATATCCGGACCCGGAAAGGTGAACGTATAGAACCCCCAAGAAGGTTCCAAGCTGGGTTAGATGAAACCATAGGCGTCCTTTTGATCGGTTCGTCTGCTTGGCAATCGATGGGTTCTGGTTTGGGAGTTGTCCACATTTGTCCACGTAGGTCCAAGCCGACTGCCTAAGACCCATTCCTTTGGTTTTTCCCGGCTGTCGGCCGAAGGCAGTGGTTAGTCATGACCAAGGACCGGGGGAAAGGAAGGGGGGGTGGCATTGGAGAGCTTGGATGGCCGCATTCAAGTCAGGGGCCAATAGCTATGCTTGTGTGGTGTTTTCTTTCTTCTTTTTTTTCTGGGGGGGGAGTCAGCAATGTGGAATGTGGAACATTCAAATCGGAAGCAGACTAATTTCGGCAGTTGTCGCATGGGGCCCGCTGGGGATGTTCACACTTTGGGGCTGAGACTTAAAGACCAGGTTGCGCATAGTTCTAGTGGTTGATTCCAATCATTCTTTTCAACCATCGTTCTGTTCAAAAGCCGATCGCTGTTTCCCCTGGGGTTCTGATGGTTTTCCGGAAAGAAGGATCCCTGGAAAGAATGGGGAAGCGTCCCCTAGATTAGCAGGTGGTTTGGATTGGTGGTTTCACAATTTCAACCTGCTTCTTGAGGGTAAATGGGAAACCACTCCAATTCACCACCAAACTAATTAGAGGGCAGCTGAAAAGAGGTCATTGCTGTTTCCCGACATTTTCACTCCACCCCCGGAGGAAAGCGATCTTGTGATTAATCTGAGGCATCGCCACATCCGCTTACATCTAATTTCTTCGACTGCCAGGACTCACAGACCTGTGGTGCACTGCCTTTCTTGCTTCAAGTGCTTCGTTTTAAACTCAAATCATCTTAAAACCATCTGCCAGAAACAGTGCCCTGTGTCCCGTGCAAATCCGGAGTCTGAGAGGCATCTACGACCTTTGGGAGTGATTGGTAGGGCACATCGTTTGAGATAGGACCGAGTCACTGCATGTTTCCTCTGCCCAGCTCAGTAAATTGCACCCATGACCGAGGAGAGTGGCGAAATTGGCGCTAGGTCTCTCTTTTCTATTTCCAGCAACCAGCTGAATCTACCCTTGTGCTCACTTCCTGAGTTGGACCTTCTACTTAAAGCAAGTTTTATGTTTTTAGTAATGCATGTGAAACGTTGGCCTACGTTTTTGTTGGGCCATCCACTCCGGGGGTAAAGCGAGCCCACCGTAACAAAGATCCTTCACTTGATCCCTGAATTCAGATTCAATTTGGGTCATTCTGGGCCATTCTTTTGGCACAGCAGGGAGAAGCTGCTTATCCCCTGGCCAGGGAACGCTCCTCGCCTCAAAAAGCCTCACGACGCCAGGCCGGCATCGGGAGGCTCGACACGGGCAAGCCCTTCTGGGAGAGTTATTTCAGCCCCCCGGCCGGAACGTCTCACCGCGACTCCACTGTTCTTGGCGTGCGTTTTGTTTTTTTGAGGCTTCATGTTTGTTAAGAATTGGTATTTAGTGTAGTTGGTTGTTTTAGTGGGTGGCTGCAACACAACGTAAAGCTAGATGCTCACATGCCAAGAGGTAAGGCTGAGATTCACGGAGGTCAGATGGCTCCAAGCCCAACAACTCCAGGCAGCACCCAAAACCCGGACAGACGTGACAGGTGGTTTGGATGGTGTGGATGGGAAATCACACTATCCAATCCACCGACTAGGGGGAAGCTGAAACATGAAGGGATGAAGGTGCACGACTTGATCAATGGGTGCCAAAAAACACCCACAAGGTTCAACGCTTTGGGTCAAAAAGGATGGGGCACTGTGTCACTCCCTGAGTTCATTGACGAACTATGACTTGTTGGTTGCACCATTTCAGTTGCAACCAAGAAGTTTGGACTTGGTTTGACCCATCTCAGGAGCTTCGAGTGGCTTCGATGGGGGTTGAAGGTGTTCCGGGGGGTTCCATGGGGTCCATTTCCCCGGATCAGGTGTTCGCACCCCAAAACCCTAACAACCCAAAGCTTCAATCAATAAATTCCCCCTCTCCAAGAGTCACCTGAAGGTGAGAGAAAGGCGTGGGAAGCTGACTTTCCTTCTATGAAATCTCGTCCACTCCCATGACCTGATGCTTGTCCAAACTTGGAACATCCTTCCCATCCAAAAATACCTGTCCTATGTCCGCAACAAATGAACTGTGGGGTGGCAGAAGCACGCGGGCTTTCCCAAACAATGTTTTCTTGGTATCCCCAACTCGCAACCACTTGCTGGTCGCGGATCCTGCGATCTGAGGTGGGCTGAGCAAGGTGACCTGGCATGACTTGGTGGACGGTCTGCAGGAACAGTTCCTCTCTTCCAACTTTTGCCCGCAGGACCGGGACACGGAAGCGGCCTCCAATACAACATGTTGGCCAAGTGACGCCCCCCCCCCCCCCCAACAAAATAACGGATCCCAAAGGGGTGTCCCCCAACACGAGTCTCCTCCACAAATGGTGCTTTTTGGGGGGGCATGGTAATCTGAAGCTAAGTTCCAGTGACGTTTGGTTTGGTTTGGTTGCCCGATGCATCGTGCCTTAGCTATTCGCAAATTCACTCCCCTCGAGCTCATGGACTTCCGGTGCTTTTTGGGGAGTGCATGTGAGTGGCAAACAACAGGTCCCCGAGGAATGCCCTACCTTTTACCTTCTTTGGGGAGGGGAACCCCCCTACTAAAACAGACTACAGAAAAATGGTGCCCTTATTCTTTCCTCTCTACTGGAGGATCTAGAACAAGCTTAGACTTGTTTTTGCAATTTCACTCAGAAAGTGAGTCAAAACAAATGGTCCGAGTCCACGGATGTGATTCGATGTTTCATACCAGGGCTTTGCTCAACGCATTCGTTCCACGTCTCTATTGGCAACTCGAGTTGCGCATGTGCTTGGAGTGTCCTTTGAAAAGCAACGGCCAAACAAAGAGCCCCCTCTTTTCTGGCGATATAAGGCCTGGGGTGGTGCCAGGATTTGTTGGAGCCTCTACGTGCTCGCCTGACGAAGGATTCTGCTCACCACGCTCTTTGGCCGATATCATCCGATATCCCAACCCGGCCCTGTGGGTGCAACCAAGGTGTAGGTGGGTGCCAAGCAGCTTGGGGCGACGGATCGCAGAGCAGTGTTTTTTCTTGTCCATTGCGCGCGTGCAATATCTTCGGTGCTCTCCCAAATGAGACAAGCCCTGAAAATGGGACTGTCCAAGTGTTTGGTGTTTTTTTTTCGACCTCGCCCCGCCCCGTGCACATAGAGAGTTGCGCCCTCAATTCGGTTCCGCAAGGAGGCTCCGTCTTTTGGCCTTGGCTTGGTATGCTTGGTCAAAGCGATATGTTGCCCCAGATGGCCGATTCCATGCACGCAGCGCCGTTGCCAAGTGGCTGGAACGTCCAAGTGCCCTGCTCGTAGGGGCTGAACAATTCCACACAATATTGTCTCATGATCGATGATGGCTTAATTTGGCTTTCAAATGCTCCGCAACCCCAAGCCCCAATTAGTTGGTTGTGTACGTTGTTTTTGAGGTTACCCCTGTTTTGTGGTGCTAAAGGGATTCCAAGGGGGAAGACCTGAAATCTATGTTTGAGGGGTCCAAGTCCTAAGAGAGACCCGTAACGGCAGAAGCTCTTCTAAATCGATGCTCGAAATCTTGATGCTCGAAATCTCTTTTTGCCTCAGGTGCAGGGTTGAGGGATCAAGGAGATCCCCACTTCTGTGATACTTTTGGGAATCCCCCTTTCTTTGGGAATAGGAACAATTCAGGGGTCTACCCCCAAAGAATTCCCAAAGCTCAAGGGAAACTTAGTCTTTGGGGTTAGGCCCTTTCTGTTGCATCATAGTGGTCATTCCCCACGGCCCTGCTCAGGTCTCCAGGCATCACTGGGAGGCTTTGCTGCAAAGGTATGGCCAATCTGTGTCCGATGTGCTGGATGCTGTGCTGGAGGAGGCGGAGAAAAATGAAAAATTTCTCGAGTCGGGATTCGGAGTCTCAGGTCATGTCCTTGTCAAGATGTGTCAAGGTCGTTTTGGCAAGAAAGAACTGCACCCTCAAGCTAATCGCTTCTCCCCAATAAAAAACACCGTCCCCCCCCCAATAAAAAACTGGGGGGGGAGTTTTATTATTGGGGGTCGCCGGTTTGGGCCTAGACCCATAAATTATTTGCTTGTGTTGGGTTGTTTGGCGAATAGGCCCTAATAATAGAACTTTCTTGGGGATGTGTCTTTTTGTCGCACAAGGCAACCCTTGAATGTCAAAGGAAACAAGGAATATTTTGGGAGCTTGGTGGAAAGTATGTGTAGTCTCAGGAGTTTAGTATTGGTTTAGTATTGGCCAATTTAAATTTAGGATTGCCGATGTTTGCCACGGCTCGGGGAAGTTTTATTATTAGGGGTAGGTTAATTAATAGGAAGAAGTGAGTACATCGAGCCTCCATGACCCTTGAAAGATTGGGTCATACCTATTTTCAGCCAAAAGGACACCTATGACTCAGTTGCGCAGGGTGCCCCCTTTTTCCTACTCCCCCCCCCCAGTTCCCAACAAAAACACCAAGAAAGAGGATTTGGCCATTAGGCCTCGTTGAGGCCTTTGAAGGATAGGGGAGCGGGGGTCCGTGGTTTTTTGGAGCTTTTTTCTTTTCGTATGTAGTGGTCCCAGGGTTGTGGGATCAAGGGATTGGTTTATCCAACCACTTCCGTGATACGTTTGGGAATCCCCTCCTTATATGGGGGAGTTGGTCTTTGGGGCTGGCCCTTTTTGTTGCATCACAGAAGTGGGTTCCATTTCAACCACAGCCCCCGCTCCCAGCCCCAAAAAACCAGAGGTTTAGGTTTCGAGCCGCTGGTTTCGCCATGTGCCGTGTCTACGCGACGGCCGAAAGAAAGCGGCCCTTGCCTTTCAGTGGAGTTGGGGGAGGGCGGGGGCGTTTTTTCTGGAGATCTCCGTGTATGGTTTCGTGTTCTCTTCTTTGGAGCATGTTGGATGTTAGGACTTGAACACTTTTTGATCCAACTAATAGGTCTTCCGTACTAAACCACCAAAAAATACACTTTCAGCAGGGCTTCGCAGATTTCGCAAGTGAGTCTTGCCGGAAGTTCAGACTGGTGAAATGGAGTTCCCACCATCTTGGGTCAGGTGTTGGATGGCATTTCTGAGACCATCTACGCGCCGGAGCAGCAGCACGTGGAGGAGCTGAGCCCATTTGGCCAAGTTGGAACCGGGCAGGGCTTGACCAGGTGCCGAACCTGGCCAGTCGATGCCACCAGTATCCTCCATTTGCTCAAGGGCCTGCTTTTCTTTCCCCTGTGGGCTCATGTAGGGAACCCACCAATCTGTTCCTGGTGTAATCGTAAATGGTATCACTGAGTGAAGTGTTTGGATCTGTTTGGCTGCCTGAACGGAACATGCCCAATGGTTTATTGGCCTCTCACTGGTCAAGAAGGCCTGCGCTTTATGCACACCGCTTGCCGCCCCCCACGCCCGAGGAACAACTCACCGAGGAATCGAAAAATCCAGACAGCCTTTCGATCCCAGAACCCAAAACGGGTAGCGGTTACAGCGGTTTGTGGCAACCTTCGATTTGAGGTTGGCCTTGGTTTACTCACTGGGTTCCTAATCTTGAGTCACTTTTTAGGTTTGGACCATTTCAGTAGTGAACAAACTGGGATGATACTTGTTTGGCCCATCCACTCGATAGGAAGTGAGTCAAGGTCCATGAAACAAAAAGCGCCAAGTCTCATTGTTTAGCCCTGGTGTCTGATGAATTTCCTGTAAATACCGACAAGCGTAATGGTTTCAACCGGTGCGAAATGGATTTCGTCAATCCACCGAATTTCTGGGGCGACCTCTTCGATCACTCGAATACTGGAGAAGCCATTGTGGTGCCTGCGCAAAGCTTTGTCGGGGCGTGTGGAGGCTGGAAGCTCAAAAGGGGATCCAAGGAGACTCAACTTCTGTTCCCGTTAGAGAAACCACTGAATTCTGTAGGGTTTGGGCAATTTTCGACAAAAGGGATCCCTGGCAAGGAGCGCCGGTACTAGAAGTTTCGTTGTAGACCGTGGGGCCTCTATGGCTTCCAGCACTCTCACAGCTTCAGGGTTCAAATTTGAGATCTTCAGCCAGCAGACAAGCAGAACACGTCACTCCCCAAGTTCCTTTGGACCGTGAAACGCGGCCAAAGGTTTAGACAGGGGTTTTGGGCCATCGGGAAGTCGGAGATTCAGAACGGTGCCGCAAGTCTGGCATGCGGTTTGGATGCGGCCTGGGCTTTGGTGGATCCCCTGTGGAATCTTAAAAGAGTACTAAAAGATGACGAAAGCAAAAAGGGGAAAAAGGCGATTCACGCAAAAAGCGCAAGTCCAAACCCGTGTTCTAGAACAAGAGCCCGGTTTTTTCCGGTTTGGCTTCCCATCAGAAAGAGGTGCCCCGCCTGGCAGATCTCTTGGTTTGCCTGAGGCTTGCCTCCGCGACCGAGGAGGACGGAGTTGAGACTCTCGGAGTGCACAAGAAATCCTTCTCACGAGGGCGATTCCTGGTTTAGATGGGGTTTATGCCCCATTTACCAGGGACACCCGAATCGATTTTTCCAAAAGGCCACCAAAAGGAGCCTTCTTGCCAAGATATCCAGTGCCTCACGAAGTGGGACCTTTTGGATGCAACGGCAGAGAGCGAGGGAGAGGGAACTGGGAACATACAGCAACAGTCGACCCATACAGGAAACTGAGATACGGAAAAATCCACTGGGGAATCTACTGGGAAAGGAAGTGACAGACCCATACAGGTAAACACTGAAAAATCCACTGGGAAAGGAAGGCTCCAGGGTTGCTCGGATTCGGATACGTTTGCCGAGGAAAACCTTCCACCCGGGCGGCGCCCGGCCCACGTCGCGCCGCTCGGCGAAGAAGCGAGAAGAACCGGGTCCCGTGAGCCAGTTGTTGGATTCCGGGCCCCAAACGAACTAGATCCCCCAGTAATGCCAACTTTTACCGTCTTTTTGGTTGGGAGGGTTCCCCTAGTACAGTAGACTACAGAAAAACAGTTGGTACCCTTCTTCTAACCTCTCTACTGGGGGACCTAGTGAAATCAAAAAGTATTCCTTCTGCTTCGAGTTGACTTTCGAAGAAACAATCCAAAAAGGGGTCGAACACGTTTTTTTTTTAAACCAGTAGTTGCATTGCAACTTGGGGAATCCAGTTTTGGGGAGGGTATTATCATTGTGAGCCATTGGTCGCTGCCTGGGTTTCTTGCGTCCCCGAGGCAGTCGGATGCGACGGAGAGGTCGTTGAGATGGAAGGGTGCCCCAGGCTGCATGGAGGCTGCTGTAGGCGACCGCCCTGGTGTAGTTTGGTTGAAGGATGCTGGAGACACCTCTTGGGCATACTTGGGTGTGTTTTTGTTCAATGAAAGAGCCCGTTTTGGGCGATGCTTTCTATTTTTAGGGGAAGTATTGGGGATACCTGGCCAGAGCAGGCCCACTCGTGTTGGGCGATTCGACTTGTTGCCATGGTTTTGACGCTGGAGCCCCGAAATGCCACTTGTTCTCGGTCAAAAGGCATATTTGGCCTGTTTTTTACCCGAAAGGTTGCTTTTTTGGTCATTTGCCTTAGTTGCTCGTATTTGGCCGTATAAAACCCGTATTTTGTCGATACAATATTGAAAAAAAAGCGAAGGAACACGTATTTGGCCGTATGACCACTTTTTTTTCGGGCAAAGCCTTTTGACCAAAAAAAAACTGTTTTGGGGCCCCAGGCAGCTATTGCCCAAAGAACCTCCTGTTCAACTTTGGCAGGGTTGTTTAGTTGCTTCAGCCCGTCTTGGTTTCTTGCCCGTGGGTCTGAAACACGGCGTGTTATCCTTCTTGACCAGTCTGGTTTGTTCAGCCCCTCTTGGTTTATTGACTCCAAGCTGCCCATTTCGTGGGTTCCCCAAGAAACCCATCTAGAGACAACACCCCCATTTCGAGAGAAAACCTATTTGGAAACAGGGCTCCTTAAAAGGTCTCCATTTTGCAACCATTTGAAACATGTTGCTTTTTCAACAAAATAAAGGGAAACCACCATTTACGAGGAAATGTTCAGGTGTATAATGTAAGGATCCCTGTAAAACGACCCATCCAAAATGGGTTCTTTAGTTTGGTGGTTTCCAACTCGGCCATGTGAACCGACGTCACGCGTTTCCGCGCCTCAGCTGAGGGAGAGCTACACTCCGGAGGACCCCCACCGACGAATGGGCCCGGTAGAGGCGGGCAAACGGATAGACTGGGAGAGCTATGTGGAGGAGCCGCTCGGCTCTGTGAAGTGGATGGACGCACGGCCCAGAAAAATACGGCCCCGGAAGTGTCTCTCTCTGTGTGTGTGGTGTTTTTTTCTTCTGACGGGCTGCAATGCGTTTGCCAAAGCAAACGACGAAAGTAAAATGACTTTGTCCCAGCAATTGAATTGGCTACCTTCGCTTGAGATCATTGGTGCGTGGCTTATCAAGTGGGATTTCTCAAATGTCCAAGAGATGCATATGTCATATGAACCTCCGAGATTTTGCAACAGCTGTATCCTTCTTCACAGGTTCCTGTGTCGTCAAGGCATGGTAACAAGATCTCTGCGCGTTGTAAATCGTTTGGTTCCCCTTGTCGCTCCCCCTTCGGCACGGACCATTTCCCCGGATTTTGAGAGGTTTCGGGGGTTGCATGTCCTAGGACTTGATTGGGCCACGGAAAAGAGAGTGTGTGTTCCGACTTCTCTGATTTTTGCTTTTAAACCGTTTGGAGAGTATAACTAAGGATGTCACTTTTTCATGGTCCTAGATGACTGAACTGTTAATGCTGGATTGATTTGACCTGTTGACCTGATGGATTGATGGGGGCGGGTTGCCCCGCCCCCCCCCCCCCCGAGGCACCCCACAAAAAAAGTGGGGATGGTCTGGCGTCAAAACGAGTACCGATATTCGTCAAGCAGGGGTTATTACTTGCTGGCCACTTCTCTTACATGGCTTTGGGATTCAAGCCTGGTTGCTATCCACTTCACTTCCAAGTGCTTCAATTGGCATCCAATGGCAACAGGCATGGACCCTTGGAAGGTCCTGTTTGTGTTTGCAGCTCTTCTTTGGATCTGGGTTCCCTTGAACATATTAGCCGCCAACATCCATGGATGTAGGTTTGAAACGTCCAGTCGTCATTTCCACCTCGCGGGTTTTGAGAAAGCCCCGCCGGACCCAAGGCTTTGCAGATCAGAGGCGAGATGGTGGACATCGGAGGGCGTCCCCACGATTCAAGAGGCCGGCCTTCCGGGCGTTCCGTTTTTCCATCGTTCTCCGCGCGCAGACAACGGGCGGGTTCCCCGTTTTCTGCGGGTTTATACGGCTCACTTGTCCAAAGCGAATGGATCTGTTGACTGAAGCACTATATGTGTTTCCTGTGATGGCCCATTTTTAGTCACCCCCAAATGTGATCATTTTTTATTTCTGGGACCCCTTTGGTGCTTTTCCAAGCAGGGTCAGCGTTTGGGATCGGAGACATTTGGCCTTTGCTTCCAGTTGCCATGTGGGTATCCGGGTAACGGTGGTTTAATGACGCGTTCCTTTGTGTCCCAGGCTATAGTTGGAACGTTCTTTAGCACTGGGCTTCACGAAAGTTTGCTCACACACCTAGGGACCAGTTTTTTCACATCGCAACCGTTTCCTCAGTTGTTCAGTGGCACCCTTTTTCCCTTTTTTGTTGGCAGCCACCTTTCCAAAAAAGGGTGCCCTTTTTTTCCAGGGTCACTGAACAACTGAGTTTCAGAGGAGTTCCTTGTGCCTAAACTTATGGCTCTGTACGGATCTTTGGACAACGTGTTGCTTGAAACTGTCGGTCGGATTTCCCAAATTAAACCCGCAACAAGTGATCCACTCTCTTTAGAAAGGGGACCTTCCAACCAACAGGGGGAATGCAGGGAGCGAGCCCGTATCTTTTGTTTTAACCCAGAACTTCCATTTGTCAAAGGAGTATGTTGTTTTTTTGGTTTTAAAGGGCATGTATCGCTACTGGATTTGTTTTGTTTCCAGGGGCTTAGTTAAGCAAATGGAAGAGAATGCTGGGCTCAGGGGCAATTCGTGGCTCCTTGCCTACGGACGGAGTTCCCTTGGTCTGGGTTTCCCAATACACACCCAAGTTTGAAGAGACCCGGAAAACGAACGAAGGGGTTCTAGCTTCCACCAAAGGGGAGTAATGTGTGTAGCATCCAACTGCACCCGCTTCTCAGGACCTGACCTACGCTCACTCGACAAGATTTCTTTGGGGGGGTTGAGCCTTATTTTTATTTTAATGGCTGATTGTATAGGTCCATATATGAACCATCGCCATCTTGGACCCTTTGGGGGCTGATTTCCCACAATTAAGCCAGAACCAACGCCTAAATCAAACCAGAAACTAGAGGGGTTTATACCAGGGGTTCTTCTGCTCAGCAAGAAGCAGTCCACGTTTTGCCGAGCCGCGCCGTTCGCCTCGTGAAGTTTGACCCCGGGCTCAGGGTGAGCTGCGCCTGGCAGCAGCACGCGAGGTTCGCAGCGGCTTGGCAAGAGCGGAGATGGGCGGCGCCCGCTTTTCTAGGGGAACCCCTAAAACCAGGGAGGGTTCTTCCCCAGAATTAGCTCCCCTTTTCGCTTTTTTTTTTTTTTGCTTTTTTGAAAAAAGCCGACCTTTTGCCCAAAGCGAATCGACCGGATCTGACCTTAAACGGTTTTCCCATGTTGGGTTCCCATTTTTAGTAAAGGTCCCAAAAGGTTAAGCTTTTACTTCCAGGTCCTTTGAGCACGTGAGAAAACCAGGGAGGGTTGTGGGATCAAGGGGATCCCCGCTTCTGTGATACTTTTGGGAATCTCCCCTTTCATATGGAGGGTTAGTCTTCGGGAAGCCCTTTTTGTTGTATCACAGAAGTGGTCATTTCTCACAGCCATGCCTAAATCTGATGGTGTTCCTCTTGGTTTCCTTGTGAAGCCAACCGGCCAGGGGGGGTTCTCTCAGAAAAAAAAGACACTCCCAGATTGACAGGCCCCTTTCCAGTGGGTGCATCCGGCTCTCAAACCTTTGCGTGTGTCTGTCTGTTTTAGGTTTCCATGCACGAGCCGGACATAGACCTCTCAGTTCCTTGTGACCTCGCCATCCACCAATCCCAAAGCCTCACTTGACCTTTCACCGGTTTGGATTGAAGTTGAACCAAGGGGAAACCACCCAACGGCTCCAGAACCTCCCCAAACCCTGGGAAGCTGAACCCCTAACTCACCCCAAGGCGAGTCGACCTGATCTGACCTTAAACGGTTTTTCCCCTGCGTGGCCATTAAAAAGCCATGGCCTCAAAAGGTGATCACCCTGTAAATATTTCCAGGTCAGACAGGACAACTGAGCTTTAAAAACTTTTGGTGAGCCAAAACTTGTGGTCAACAACTTGTGGCTCGGCTTCTTTTGTCAAATCCACCCGTAGGAACCAGAAGCTGGTGCCCTCAGGCAGTCTGACCTTCACTCGGCGGGCCTTGCTGCTGCGGGTGGCCACCGGAGACTTGGCCCATCAGCGTCCCGTGCTGGACCTTGGCGACACAGGCCCCGCCCAAGTCGGTGGTCCGTCCGACGCGTCGGTGCGCCTGGCCATGGGATATTTTGGGACCCACTAGAGATACGGCTGAAGGGAAGCTTCACTCTTGGATCGTTTGTTTTTCTTCTTCTTTTTTCTTCTGGTTTTGTTTGGTTCTGTTCATTTTAGGTACGGGGCTGCGAACGAAAAGCGTTCTTTGCAACCATGCCAAGGGTTGTGAAGAAAATGGCCCAAACCAGGACCAGGGTGAGGTTCCATGTGGATGGGAGGATATATTTTGAGAAATCTATAATTAGCCCTGTTCTAGAACTAACCGTTCCTGAAACCTTGAATGGTTTTCGTGTTTTGGCCCCGTCTTTGGCCAAGATGTCAAATGTTAAGCTGTCATTTCCATGTTCTTTGAACACAGGGGGAGGGCGGTTCACAAAGATAATCATGAGCGTATCCATTTAAACTAGATGGGTAGTGCCACTTGTTTGCGTCCTTTTGGCCTCCTTTCAAGCCAAAGGGCGGCTCCTTCTAGCTGAGTGTCCCTGGGGGTTGGGGAAGATATGTTGCGAGACCCGTTTCCGCCTTTGTCGCCAAAGCCGTGTCCCTTTGAAAAGCCCTCCCAAAGTGGCACTGCTTTTTTTTTCCCGGAGCCCAAAAGTTGCAGTTTCACCTTTTGAAGGGAATTCCGAACACTCATGCGTCCTAAAATGGAGGAAACGTGGCTTTCCTTTACGACGCCCAACTCAAGGCAATGGGGAGCACTGGCCCTACCAATGGGGGCGCTGCGGTGAACTTTCATTTCCTTGCACGTGCTGAAAGGAATGAGTTTTAATTTTCCCCTGCTAGTTTCGAAGTTGGAATCAATCACTACTGGAAACATGTTCCGTGCTTTTCTTGGGCCTTAAGCAAATGGATGGTGGTTCTGGGGCTTTCAATAGAAGACCCAGACACCTCCACTAAAGACCTCCACGTCTCAAAGTTATCGAATAAGAGCGTTTGCGTGGCAATGTGTTGAATGTGTCCCATGCAAATTGCACAGACACGCATACACAGATCAATATTTGGACCCCCAAGAAAAACACACAGTGGATGGTTGCGAATTCCCATTTCGCGGTGTTCAGAAACCCAACGGTTCTGATTCGATTCCCCAGCGTACTCAAGAAGTCGGATCCTGACTGCCAGATTCAACCCAGCCGGCAGTGTTGGTGAGCCCCAACGACATCACCCTCTCTCCGGCTGTGCCGCGCTCTCGGATCGAGTCGAAGGGCCAGTCTCCGGAGGGGAAAAAAGCAGTTTTTCACTGGGCCACTTCACCCGGACTCCCGGTGGTGCCGGTGTTTCTCTTCGTATGGGGGCTCCGGTTAAAAAACTCAACCTGTCTTCCCCCCCTGGCCACTGGAGGTCTGGGGGTTAAAGCGGTTTCGTTTTGTGGGGGTGTCAACCTTCCTTTTGGGCGTGGACTTCCTTTAAGTCACCGCGAGGCTGGGTAGGTTTGCGGATGTCGCCTTGGACCCAGTTGGGAGGCAGGGCTCAGCCCGCAGACCGAGGGGCCTCCCCCGATTGCTTCTCTCCAATCAGGCAACTTGCCTTAAGACGGCCACCAGGTTCTTGGAGGTTCCCAAATATGCGCTCCCTTAGCTTTTTGGGTCTTTTGAGTGTTTAGTGGTTGGATTTCCATATTATCCCACAAAGACTTTGTCACTTTCAGCGGGGGCATGCTCGGGGGCGTCTGAACACGGACAGCAGTTGGAGTCTGAGTTTGGAGGCACGCGGAAGGGAAGAGGAGCCAAATCTGGCGTTCTGCTCCCCTTCACTCCCTGAGTTCCGTGGGCTTTTTTGGGGCGGCCCCATTTTGGTGGCAAGCAACGAGTTTGGGGAGTTCGTCCAAGGCACTCAAGCCCAGAAGTTGTACCACGTAGCTTTAGATCTGAGCCTTGCTGGCTGGGTATCCTCAGTTGCCCCGGGCAGACCCTTTTTGTCACATTGTCCAACGCGAATCGACCTTCTGACTGACCTTTTGGTGTTCCCGGGTTGGTCCATATTTAGCCGCGAACCCAAAAGATGATCACCTGTTATTTCTGGGTCCCTAGACAGGGCAACTGAGTTTTTCCTGCTTGGATTTTCGAACTCGGCCCAGGACCAAGTTCGGTCGAGGCGACGGGGGTGCCGGGTTGGAGGTCTTACCCTCTTTCCAGGATTTATGGGATTTGGACAAATGGTAAACGAACGCAAGTGGACGTCTTGGAAGATTCAGTTGCAACAGCGAATCGACCTCTCACCTTTGGTTCCTTTGGCATTTCCATTTCGTCAAGCCTACAAAAGGTGATGACCGGTTATTTCCAGGCCCCCGAAAATTTCAGGGGGCAACCTGGACCTTCAAAGGGGCCCTTTGTTCTGCCTTTACCCCCTTTTTTGTGGGTCAAAGGTAGGAAAAGAGGGCTTTTGGGGGTCCAGGAAGTGAGATGGGCGTCCAGTTCTAGTGGAAAGAGGGCAAAGTTATGTAAAGTTGTGGCAGCCAGTGGCAGTCATAGGCCTCCTTTTTCTGGCACCAGTTTTCAGGCTGGCTTCCAGCCCTCCAAACCACTCCAAGGAAAAACCGGGGTACCCTTCACATTGCCGCTATATTCTTGACTGCTATTGGGTTGGATCTTTAGACTTCACCTTTTTGGTTGAAATCAAGTTGGGTGTTCCACGAAACCCCAAAAAAGTGGTCAACTTTTTGCAGAGGGGTCAACCGCCAGCAACCAAGTCTTGTGGTTGTATATCTTTCCTTTGGTAGCTTCGGTTTGGGGGAAGGCTCGGGGTCTCGAGGTCATCAAGCCTCATCTCGGCATGCGCTTGGGCCACCTGTACGCACGGATTGATTCGGCTCGGTGGGTTCTTATGGTTGGCCTGGCCGAACAAAAACAGCGGCTCGCCTGGCCGAAACGGGCGGTGCTCCAACTGCAAACGGGCGAGGGAAAGCTCTGCCCAAAGCGAATCGACCTGTTGACCTTTTGGTTTCTCCTTGTTGGTCCAGTTTTAGTGGCCCCAAAAGGTGATCACTTTTTATTTCTGGGTGAATCAGGGCTCATTTGAAACATGTTTTTTTCCACCAAAATAAAAGGAAACCACCATTTGCAAGGCAATGTTCAGCTGTATAAATGTAAGGATCCTTGTGAATCTGTGTGAGAAAGACCCAAGACGTCACCAGCTTCATGCTGAGGAACAGGCCCTTGCCATCTTGATCCCCAAGGATTGGGGCAGACGGGTTCTGTCGGAATCGTTTGCCTCAGGTGTTTGCCCAAGCAAACACCTGAAATGGCGACGGTTTGGTCTGTAAAACTACCTTGCCAATGACCAGCCAAAAGAAAAGTGTTTACACTTTTCGGGCCACTAAAATAAATGGAGAGCCACCAAGAACACACTTTTGGGGCCACTGTACGAGGAAAGCCAACAAGAAGAACATCCAAGCAACAAAAACGGCTCCAGCAAGGGGAAGCCTCAAAAAACCGCCAAACAAAACGCACGCCGGCCTGGCTCCCAGCGGCTGGGTGGTTGGCCAGGCTCCAAGCGAAAGATGCTGCCGGACTTGGCGCGGAGCCCCACTGCGCATGGTGACACGGTTCTTTGGTTTTTAGTTTGGTTTTGGCCTTGGCGTCCTCAGTTGTTCAAAGCGAATCGACCTTTTGACCTTAAACGGTTTTCCCTTTTTGGGTTCCCATTTTTAGCCATGGCCCCAACAGGTTAACCGTTTGGTTCTGGGCTTGGGCAAGTGAGTGTTTGGTTTTGGTCTTGGCGTCCATCAGATTTCATACATCAATGGGGGCTCCCGGACCCAAGCGGGACCCTGGTATTTTCAATTTGGTCGATCACTTGGCTTCGGACGCCATGTGTTGAGCTACGAGGTCCGTAGCTGGGTCCGACGTCCGACTTTCAAACGGGTCCAAGGCTGGCCCGGGCTGGAAGAAAGGCTCAAGAGCCCCAAGGCTCATGACCCCTATGCAGGGAAAATCCCCGGGCCCTATGAAGAGCCCGGAGCTGGGGCATTTGAAAACAACTCCATTTTGAGGGCCCACAAGAAAGGCATCGGGAGCCTTAGGGCGGGTGCTTCAAAGGGCACCTCCAACACGGACTTTTGTTTTCCCCCCCCCCGCTTGTTTGCTTGTGATCTGTGGCTTCTGAGTGCATGACCGAGCCCATCGCGTCCCGCTCGCACTTCACCGTTACCTTTGACAAGGACACCGGCAGGACGGCACGAATCGGTTGGGAGGTTTGGGCCAGGAGGAAGTTGTAAAGAGAATTTCGGGCAAAATAGCGGTCCCCTTTTGGCATTTGGAGGGCCCAAAGGAAAAGCAAGGCAAGCCGCCTGGAGGAGTCGTTCCAACTGAATTTGAGAATCATCATGTTTGTTCATGTGGGCACGGAGCGGCTGGCACACAAAACTGCAGAAAGTCACCTAGGGAGCAGGGAGTCGACAAGGGAAATGGTATTGGGAACCCCCCTTGGCGGAAGGAATGCTGGAGATATCACATCCCCACCGAGGGACTCAACACGGGCCGTGTGTCTGCTCGACGTTGTCGTTGTAGTGCTGTCATTTGGCAAGACTTTGCGGCTGCAACTCGGCAGTCTGACTGTCTTGCTACTCCTGAAGCACTCAGACACGTGCTCACGTCCATATGTGATACCCATTGCCACAAAAAATGGCTGGTTTTCCTGCATTGAGCAACCGTCTATCATTAAATGAGGTGGAGTTGTGTATACGTTCGACCCTTCCGATTCAACCAACGAAAAGGGGTCCACTTGTTCTATGGCCACTGGTCAGGGAAGCCTCTCGGGTACCCCTCAATTGGTTTGGATAGGGCTCAATCCTAGGCTGATGATTGTTTTCCGTGATCAAACGGGTAGACACAGATGGTTCACGAGGGGTTTCTCAAGTCCCCTCAGTTGGTTTATGCGGAACCCACTCCAGGGGTCGGTCCGGATTTGGAGCATGGCCTTCAATGTTAGAGGACAGGAGGGCAACTAGCAGCCAAACCGGGGTCCACCAATTTGATGAACGAATGTACACCCTATCCATCAATGCAACGCATGTGTGTGTGTGTTTTGTGTGTTTTTGTGTGTTTTTGTGTGTTGTGCGTGTTTTGTGTGTTTTTTTGTGTGTGTGTGTGTGTGTGTGTTTGTTTTTGTGTGTGTGTTTGATTTTGTGTGTGTTTGATTTTGTGTGTGTGTGTGTGTGTGTGTGTTTGTTTTTTAAGGGACCCCACAAAGTTGCTTCGTGTTCATGTTGGTTTGTGTGTTTCGTTTTTTTTTTGGTGTGCGTGTTGGAGTGTTGCATGTTTTTGCCAACTGCTTGCGCGTTCACAGGTGCTGGATTCAGAGCGCCCAGCGCCCGGTCGACCTTCGATAGGATCCTTTGATCAACCCATGGGGTTCTTCCATGGTTGTGGTTGGGAAACATATTATGGTCCGTGGTTTAGTGGTTGAAATCCAACAACTTAGCTGCAATATATACATATATATATATATTGTTGCTCCCCTTCCAACGTCAACCAAGCACTTCTCTTTGAACAGCCCATGGGGGGGGGGTTCCACGTGCCAGGTATTCGATCATGGATGCCGGATCCAAGTGGGGGACGTTTCTTAAGGCCGGGGGGCATCGGAGGGCCCGGTGTCGAACCAACTTGATACTGCGGATGGTTGCGAAATCCGTTTCGCACCGAAGAAACCCTGGTGTCTGTTGATTCCCTTGTAAATACCGTAGCAAACAATGGTGTCAACCATGGTTGCTCAGGTGGTGCGAAATGATTTTCGTCCATCCATTGTAGGATGTGGGTTGGTGGGCGAGAACCATGGGTTCTTGCCAACAAACCATGCTTATAACCAACTCCAAGTTGGTTGTAGCCTTCTCCCAAGCAAGGGGGGGCCAGTCTTTGCGAGTTCGCAGAAGCAATTGTCTCTGTCAGCTTTTACTTGCCAAGTGACCAGTTTTCAGTTTTGTGGTTGGGCCAAGGCCCACTAGGAACTTGGTTCAGAAGCTTCGCAAGAACTGGCCGATAGAACTGCAGAAGTGTTTCCCTCGCCTTCAATTGCGAAAGTGTTTTCCTCGTGTCATGCTTGGCCCAAGGGTGGGAAACACCTGGTTGATTGACAGGGAGGTGTCGGCTACTAGGAATCCAGCACTTTTGGAGGGGCCCCTAGCCTGCGGCCAAGCACTTGCCGAAAGAAAGGGACGGTGTTTTTTCTTCTCAGCTGAAAGCGAATCGACCTGTTGATATGAAAAAAAAACAGTTTGCCCGCTATAAATTCCAATTTCTCGTTGGGGCCCCACAAGGTGATCACGCTCCACCTCTCCATGGCCTGTTTCCCTTGCCTGGTGACAGGGACTTTTTCCGGTTGCTTCGCAAAACATCCCGCTTCCAAGTTTCAGTGAGGCAAATCTCAGCTGTAACCTGTGCAGTTTCGATTTACGGGAGGTGACATATGAAGAGCCGTCTTCTGTTGCTCAAGACACGTGCTGGCAGCCCTCCGAGAATCAACATAGGCTGCTGGCCGTTTGTTCCTCAGGCTCTTTCAACGCACCTAAGCCGAATTACAAAAACACATGGCCATTGAACACTGGCGAGGTGGTCCTGCGATCTACATGTGAAAGCTGGTCCCTTCCACCTTTCAGTGGCCCAAAAATAGTTGGTGCAAAGTGAGACGCCCCCTTTCAAAGGTGTCTTGCAGTCACCAATGGTTTGCATTCGGTGTGAGGGGCACGCCGTAGATAAATCAAGTGCGTAAGGCGCACGTGTCCTGGGAGCATACGTGGGACATACCAGTACCGTTTACTCAAGTGCACGGCACTAAATAAAGAACAAGCACATATACATACATAAATAGCATAAATATATATATATATATGCCATTGATTCCACCCACGTTGCCTTGCAAGACAAACTCCTGCCATTTAGCCCTTCGGTGCACGTACTTTTTGGACCCTGTGAGCCACCATAACATCCCAAACCATGACATGCCGATGTTCAACCACTGCGAAGTTGTATGGTGCGGAGTCGACACCCCCTTCGAAGACCTGACATGGTTGTGAATTTTGTTTGGTGGACAATATTTTGGTAGGGTCCATGTCCACTAATCACTTTGGAGGTGGTTCCCTATTGATGTCTTCTTTGGTGGACCCCCGAAATCGTGGTGTTCCTTTTGGTTTCGCGGCAAAACCGCAAGAAAAAAGGGGTAGCCTCAAAACACAACCTCCAAACACATGCAGTTTCCGATTTTGCCAGGTGAGTGCGGAGGGTGATCTGCTCAAGTGCGGGGACTGGCTGCGTGTGGGCAACGCCGAGCTGGTGGTGCGGTACTGCGGTGGCTTTTGCAAGTCGCACAGGCGAGCCTCCGAGCTGCGGACCGTAGGAGAGGTTCTCAAAATGGTGGACCCTTTTTCTGGGCTCTCCTCAAACAAATTCACGTGTTTGTGTCATTTCTTATTTTGGGGCCAAGCATGGAGCAGAGGCAGATTTGCGTGGTCTATGTATGCAGGTGCGGGCCAAGTTGTGGTTCATGTGTGCGTGTTTGGGTTTTGAGGGTATGCCCCCTGTTTGGGTTGAATTTACACAGGGCTGCTTAAAAGATACATTTTGCAACCATTTGAAACATGTTGCATTTTCCACCCAAGTAAAGGGACACCACCATTTACAAGGCAATGTTCAGGTGTATAATGTAAGGATCCATGTTACAGGAACACCAACCAAACTTACTGGAGGAGGAAACACCAGAAAATGGAAACTGCAGTGCACCCCCGTGGCCGGGATCGGTGTAACCCCAAAGGCCCCGCTTTCCATTCAACCGGTAGGGGAACCTTTGAGCAACCATGTTAATGTTAAGCGAACTGTGCGGTTTTGCATGCATTTTTTGAACGAATTGTGTTGTTTCCGCTTTTTTATTTACCACAAAAGCCATGAACACTCTGACTAGTAGGGGCCTCCTGATTCGTATCCGTTCAGCGAAAGCCGTGGGGAGAGTGCTGCGCAAGCGCCATTTTCCATCCATACTTGTGCGAGCAATTGGCCATGAAAACTCCAACCCCAACAAGGATTTGCTTGGGAGAGTACTGAAGCGATCAATTTTCAGGACTACTCTAGCTTGGCTTCTGGGCATGCCTGTTGAGCCTGTCAGTTTTTGTGCGCGTTTTGATGGCACCCGTTTCCAACCGGCTGCAAGCGACCCAACAGGACAACGGCCGCTGTGGGGGAAAACCACTCGCGGTTCGCCTACCCTTGACACATGTCTCGCATCAACACCTCTTTGCTCGCGGCTGGGCAAGGGATTTTTGTTTTTGTTTTTGTTTTTTTAATTAATGTTCTTGAGGGTTGTGTTTTTTCGCTGCTTTCCCTGCAGAGCAACCCAAACAAGCACCTTAAAAGCAGGTCGCATTAAAAGAAAAAACGGCCTAGACGCCGGGGGCTAGAGCTCTTCCGCTGAAGCTCGCGCTTCATTGCACCAGGTGGCATGCGCGAAGCAGACAGCATTCGCTGCTGCACGTGCGGTCCATGTGCGCGTTAGGCGAGCGGGCGTGGGTCGATGGCACCATTCGCGGGAAGACGTGAAGGAGCACATGTTGATTGGACAAATATACTTTCACCACTAATTTGTGCAGAGGTTAGAGGTTAGCGCAGATTTTCAATGAGGTCGACACCGCCAGATGCAGAAGGCATGGGGTCGCATTTCAGCGCAACTTTGGCGAATGTGGTTTACCAGAATTCCTTGGACGACTTCCATATTAAACGGTTCGTCATTGCTGGAAACACTCTATGCACGGAATAAGGGAGCCACTGCAAGTTGCTCCTTGTTCTTTCTTCGGCTTGTGTACCAGTTGCTCAAGGTCCTAGCTCCAGGGAAGTTGCTACATGGTCCATGTACCCCAACCACGTAATTCTAGCTTTGAATAATCAAGCTAAGAATGATACTGGGACTGACCAATTCACAGATGGGTATGTGTCAAAAGCAAAACAGTGGCTTTCCTTGTCGGATTCCCTTTCACCCAGCCCCAACAAGGGTACCCTCAAAACACACGCACACGCACCGCCTGTGCTTTTCGTTGATCAGATCCGTGTCCCTTTTGTGCTCCCAGTCGCCCGCAAAAGGGCCCCCCTGTAGGACTAGGCAACTGAAAAGGAGAAAACCCTTTACCCGGTGTAAATGGTGAACCACCAACCTCCAAATCACCAATCCAAACCACTCCGTTTGAGGGAAGCTGATTGAAGGCCGGATTTGGCCATGAGCTTGACATCTGGAAGGCATTGGCTGAAGCGCATCTTTGGACGTTCTGATGTTCCCCTTTTTGTTTGAAAGAGAGCTTATCACTACTGGACATATATCCTCATTCTTTCCAGGGGACTCAAGGAAATGGGATTGTGGTTCCACCCATTGTTTGACATCCAGACCTCCCAGATGTATAGTCGCCATAGCTGGTAGCCAGTGCATTAGCCTAAATTTGGTGGTTGGATTGGATTGGTTGTTTGAACCGCTGAACCTCCAAAACCCTTCGGGCTCCAAGCCAGAAATTCGCGGGAAGCTGACAACTCCGCGCCAGATGGGTTGATCTGCTTCGTGTGTCGCCAGGCGGAAATCGAAATCCTTTCAGCCTAAGCCACAGCGAGGCAGGTGCATTTCGAGAGCTGACAGGTCGGCTCATCAAACCTCCCAGTTGGCATTTCCCTTGGTCCAGTTGTGTTTTTGATTGGTCTATGACTCCAGCTGGCCTCCAGGCCTCCAGCTCCATCTTTTTCCATCTGTTGTTTTTGTGTTGGGGGGGGGGTTGGTCTAGAACCAACCACTGCTGGTGTTTTCGGGAACGAGCCAAAGAAGAGGGGAGGATGATTTACCCATTTCCCAGCGAGCGAACAAGAAAAACGGAGGTTTCCATGCACCTGCCAGGCGACCAAACAACAAGAGGGGTTCTGGAGTTTGAGGGGAGGGGGGGGGGGGGGAAATTTTGAGACTCCTTTTTCCGAGGTCCTTCAGAGTTCTGGACATATTTGATTTTTGCTTGGGGATCAACCGGGCTCACCTGTGATAGAGGTCCTTTGGGCGCGGGGACATGGTCGAAAATCGTGTCAGAGACTTTGCCTGGTGCCCCTCAAGTGTTTAGGACATCCAGTTGTTGAGTCGGCAAACTTTCAAACAGTTCGGCTATCCATCGCTTAGGCCCAGCAAGAGTGGTTTGGGCCAGCGAACTCGGAAGACTTCGAATGTTGGCTGTTGTTTTCTTTATCTCACTTCCTGAGTTCATGAACTTTAAACTTTTTGGGTTTGGTCCATTTTAGTGGTAAATGTAAAGTTTGGGTACTTTTTTTGGGCCATCCACTCTGCCAGTGAGGTTGTTGAGTCGGCAAACTTTCCAAAGAGTTCGGCTGTTCATCGCTTAGGCCCAGCAAGTTCAGACTTGTTTGGGCCAGCCAACTCGGCGGAACACTTAGAATGTTGGCTGTTGGTTTCTTTATTGGTCAACGCCGCAAATGTTCAAACTGGTTTCAACCAAGCTTGGTTCAGCTTGCGTGGTTTTTTGTGCCAGCTGCCCCTTTGGATGCGTGTGTGTGTGTCTTTTAGGGGACCCCCTTTTTTGTTGGTGAAAAAGGGGAAACCACAGGGAGAACCGAAGCCGTTCTTGCCGTCTCGAAACGACGCACCACTCCTTTGGGTTTCAGAGTATCTCAGTTTCATGTGCGAATCGACCGGATCTGAGCTGTTGGTTCTCAACTTGTTTGGTCATTTTTGTTGGGTCGCTTGGCCCCAACAGGTGAGCCTTTCATGTGGTCGGTTTTCAAGGGGCAACTGAGAAGATGGTGGTCTCTGAAAAAGTGTTCAAGGGAGGTTTACCCTTCCTCCAACTAACATGGCACCTGTAGGAAGGTACTTGGAAGATGAATTTTCCTTTGAAAGGATCCCCTGTCAGCTGCCATGCCATGTTAGTCGGGAGGGAGTTTATCACTATGCGATTTTCGTGAATGGGCGCTCAAAGCAACTCTTCCATTTGCTGCAAGGAATATTGGTTCTTTTCCCCTGTTGGTTTTAAAGGGAACCTATCACTTCTGGACATATTTTTCATTTTTTCCCAGGGGGCTTAAGCAAATGGCAGAACCGGAAGAACCCCCCCCGGACTGATATCGTAGGATTGAAGGAGCGCCCCATCCCAGTGGCCATTTTCCGGTGGTCCTACCTGGTGTGATGAGGGTGCTAGGTATGGGTGCGGTTGTTTGTTTTGGGGGGGTCCCCATCTTAGGGTTGAAAGAGAAAACACTGAAGGACACCAGCCATGGTCTGTTCTTTCTTCTTCTTTCTTTTTTTTTTTTTTTTGGGGGGGGGGGGGGGGTGGATGCCAATTCTCATTTAGAGAATGGCCTTTGCTTAAACAAAACAAAATCTTAACATAGCTTTTTTGTTGGGGGTGGATTCCAATTCTCATTTAGAGAATGGCCTTTGCCGTTAGAAAAGAAGAAACACAAGCGCAGCTTAGCACAACCAAGAGCCAGTGAGTGAAACCGGCGCTAACCTGGGATCCGACTCCATCCACCCCTTTCCTCGGACAAAGGCCTGCAAGCCTTGTTTGAAAACCGCGGGGTTCCTGGGAGAGGGGAGGGGGGTGTACTGGGTCAAGGTTGGTTGGTTTTTTGTTGCTTGGCCCTATATTAGCTCACTTGCCCTGGATGGTTTCCTCCTGGTTTCAGGATCCCCACCCCCTCAAAAATGGAATTGGGGGAGGGGGATTTCGACCCCTTGGAGATCTCCATCTGTGGCAACCCATTTTCCCTTTTATGGGTAAGACGAAATAAATGGAATTGGGGACCCCACCCCCCTTCCCCTAAGGTAGGACGGGTTGTTTCAGGGTTGAAGGTTCCCGGGACGGGATCGGGACGGAAGCAGCAGACGTTGGCTAGGAGGAGGAGGAGCAGCCAGCGCAGGTCGCCAACCTCTTCAGTGCCCCGGCTCTGAGTTGGGAGGACGATGGATTCCCTATACATACTCAGTTGCCCAAAGCCGACCTTTTGACCTTTTGGTTTCCCTGATTTGGTCTATTTTTAGTAAAGGTCACAAAAGGTTAACCTTTTACTTCCAGGTCCTTTGTTCAACTGAGTATATATATATATATGTATAATATAAATATATATCTATGTACATTATAAGTACATAGTGTATATATATATATATGTGTGGGTGTGTGTGTATGTGAATCTGCGCTTTGCAGGGGGCCCCAAACACTGTGTGGCATTTCCAGTTGGTCCTCCTTTGAGACAACAACCCTCAAAACACAAAGCACATTTCCGCGAACGTCACGCCGAAAGGAAACTCACGTTACTGCCCTCCAGATTGCGATCCAACCATGGCTAGGCCCTGGCTATTCTGGCTCCCTGGATGCCTTGAGGACCCCATGTTGGGACAACTTTGCAACTCGAAAAAGCGGCACTTTGAGAGGAGCCTCCTTTTGGGGGGGACTTCTTTAGAACCTCACCGCTTGAACAACCAAGCTTAATGTTGCGTATTTAAGCTGGGCGGGCTTCGCCGGTGAAGTGTTAGCCCAATGGGCAGTCCCAACTGGTTTTGGATAGGTTCCTTTAGCATCGGCGTGGGGAACACCAACTGCCCAATTTGTTTGAGGACCATTGGTTTGTCCAAGTTGGACGTGTATGTTTGAGGGTACGCCTTGTTTTTAATCCTTTTTTTGGAAACCAATAGGACAGCCGAACTCCATGTTGGGGGGTCCAAATCCGAAACAAAAAGAGAAACCACTCAAATGGAGGTGTCCAATTCACCAATCATTCTCCACTTGTCCACCTCTTTTCACCCCCAAGCACAGTCTGGTTGCCCTGAATTGATGGCTGGGGGGTTTGGAAGCCTTGGTACTTGTCAATGTTGACCCCTACTCTCCAAACTCCGAGCCAGAACCGCGGAGAGGGAAGCTGATACAAACCCACAGCGAATTGACCGATCTGACCTTCTGGTGTGCCCATGTTCTTTTCGCCCAGTTTTAGAGTCATGGCCCCAAAAGGCCTAGGTCCTCCAGTAGAGGGGTTAGAATAAGGGTACCATTTTTTCCCTGTAGTCTTGTCTTATTTTGCTCGCGCTTTGAGAGTCAATGCTCGCAGCGAAAACCCCGTGAAACTAAAACTCTGCATTGCCATCGTTGTGATGACAATGCGCAACCCACCTGCTGCGCACCTGCCTGATAAAGGCGCACCCTCCTGTAGTCTATTTTAGTAGGGGAACCCTCCCTTGAAAAGGGGTAAACGGGCACTAGTGGGGGAATCACCTTGTATTTCTGGGCCCCATCCAGGGCAACTGAGCATAAGGCGTCCCCCCTTTGCCTCTTGGCCTCTTTGCCTCTCAGGTGGCAGGCAGCGCAGGCCATGGACAACGTCCATGGAGAAGTGTCCTGGCACTGGAGGGCAGCAGGGTTCTTTGCGGACTTGGAGAGTCGTTTTTTTTTTTTTTTGGGGGGGGAAGGAGAGTCATTTTTTATGTGTTTTGCCACCGATTTTTTTGAGGGGGGGGGCAAGGTCCCAATACCCACCGAAAGAACGACGCTAAGCCCATCCTAAGCCCACCCGAACAACCCTACGCCAACCTGCAGTCCCAAACCAACCACCCCAACCTCTTAACAACGCAACCCGCCATGCCCGACAATATTGTGTTAATTTTTGTTAGATGCCGCAGTGTTCATTTTTGACGTGTTGTGCAGCACCATGGTGCCCAATAAGCTATTTGATGATGCGCAACAAGTTGTTTTGTCTAGTTTCAGAAATTCGTGTTTCCTTGACGCTTAAGTTTCTGTTTGATTCCTCACTCCGACAAGCAGGGTTACTGCGGTCCTCTAAAAAGGTTTTTTGAAGCAACCGAGCAAACTTTTGCAACCTCCCCTCCCCCGGAGGGGTTTCTGCAGCTGAAGGGTCGCTAAGGACGGTCCCTTTGCCTTGGTGCGGAAAGCAGTTGTTTCACCGAAAATGTTCCATAGCTTTGGGTGGACACCTTTGCCTTTTCTTGCGAAGTGTTGCCAATCAACCCTACTCGCACTCCCCTTGCATGACAAGGGGATCCAGCCCTTTTGTTTCAGCCCCAGGGTTCAACCAGGAGGAAAATAACGGTGGATTGAATAAACTACTGTATGGCTATATGAACCCCATTGTTTTGATGGCGGTTACGGGCCCGGTGTTGACCTCAAGCTGAGGATTTGGCAGCAGCCTGCGCTCCAGCAGGCCTCACTCGAGACCAGGAGATCGGAATGGGGAAAGCACAATGGCTGTGGGTGAGAACCCAGGAAACCCCTGGTGAACGTCAAAATAGGAGGTACATGGCCCTTGGTGAACATGAACATAGGTGGTACATGGGTGTTCTTCCGCCCCATGTTTGGGATCGGCGGTTGTGACCCATGGCCATTTTTTAGCCCAGGCGGTATCCCCAGGTTTGGCACCCTGGAACTGTTCCTCTCCCTTTGAGCCCTCCCTGTTAGCTCTCCCCAAACCAGCACAAGCTTTCAGCTGAAAGGAAAAAATGAAGAAAAAACAAGCCGCCAGGGCCATTGGAGCTCGCCTTTTCTTTCGCAGGACAATGGCTATCAAATCTCACCGATTCTTAATGGTATATAACGAGCTCACCATGATAAAGGTCCTTTACCTGGGGATTCGATTCTTAATTCAACTTTTGGATTTGCATGAAACAAATGCAGACTCAGAGGGATTTCTTTGTTCTTATCAGGGATATGCCCATTTCCCGGAGGGGTTAAAGCGACTTTGGTTGTCTCCCGATTTTTGATAAAACTCACCTAGTTTGTCAAGTAATCTTTGGGACATTTTGGGGGCCATTTGACAGCCGGTATATCCGGGAAGCTCAACAGCAAGAGCTCACCTGGGGGCAAAACAAGCTGATCAAGATCCTTGAATGGAGGGTTTTCGTGCTTGGGACATGTTGGGAATGGTCACAATTTGCCTAGATAAAGGGGAGGTGTAGGGTTTGTCCCCAAGTGGGTGATGCCGGCGCCCTATGCTAATGCCCCTCGGTTATTGGGAAGGCTGTTGGGACAGGGCTTCTCCAAAGATCAGCAGAGCCTGAGCACCAGGATGGAAAGTTGCTATCCAGGGCATGTTCAGGGAGAGGGCTTGTGGTATACCACTTGTATAGGGGTACATACTGCCTTGGAAGTTTAAAAATAAAGACCAACAAACTGATGGTGTCAGCCATGGTGCGTTCCCGGATCTCGCAACTTTTCTCCAGATCTTGGGCTTTTTGGTTGCCCTCTGGTTCTTTTTCCACGGATGGAGTCTTTCGCAAACGCTGGAACCCACGTAGCGCGCGTAGCGGCTCCGTCCGGGGCACATCGCAGGAACTCGGAGGATGAGCATCCCGAGATGCCGGGCACGCAGTTCATTCAAGTCGCCTCCGGGTAGTCCTGGGTGGTTTGGATTGGTTCTAGGAAACACTTTTTGGATGCGCGTTTTTCGTGGATTTCACCCGGTCCTCCCACTGTCGGTCCTGTTTTTTGTTATTTTTTTGATACGATTTGAATATCCTTCAGGTGTGGATCTACAGATTAGCACACGCCCAAACCGTTTAGATTGGTGGCTTCGGGTTGAACTCCTGTTCCTTTTGAAGCCAAATGAGGAAGGTACCCTTAGCGTCCGAAGCACCAAACCAAGCAACCAAGGGGTCAGGTGATCTTGATTAATTGGACATTTCTTTTTGTGAACGGATTTTTATTCGACTTGTTTGAATTGGGGACGGAGTTTTCCGGAGGTGTTTTTTGTGATAGCAAAGCAGAAAGAAAACAGATAGCTTTGCCAGGGTGTTTCCGAGTTTCCTTCGGGGAATCAACCAGATAAAGGGTGCTGGAAATTGAATAGATAAGAAGACTCACTTTTTGAGTGAGTTCATGAACTTTAAGCTTTTTGGGAGGACCACTCAAGTGGCAGAAACTTTGGACTTGAGCCATCCACTCAGGAAGTAAAAAGATCGCGCCGTGTCAGATCAGACATCGATGCGTCTTAAGTTGGACCCTCCCCCGCTAACGCAAAAAACACGAGCGAGACTCGCGGACACCCTGTGGCGTGTTTCTTTGGTCTTGTTCAGTCTTTGTCTTTTTATATTTTTTCTTGGGGGGGACATGGGTTTGCCAATGTTCAGTCCATTTTTCCCTGAAGAAGGGTTGCCCCCCCCTTTTTCCTGACTGTGGGGACGGTTCACCTCAGGCCCATGACTGCGGCCAGCGCCCCAGAACGCGACCGGCGAGTGCCATGGTACGCGGGTACCGGCCAGGGAAGCTGATGAATACGTTGGTTGGTCCAAACTTGTAGGTTTCTTCACGATATCAGAGTTTGGGTTTAGGGTTTAGGGTTTAGGGTTTCCAAACTTGTTTGATACACATGGTATATCAGAGTACATCATATCGGATTCCTTGCCGATTCCTTCCATTGGAACACAGGCCGTAGGCAGCACTGCTTTCCCGGTTTTGGCTGTGTTTGTTGTGCAGGGATGGGAGGATCCAGGAATCGAGGGACCCGTTCTTGGTAAGTGCTCCCCTTTCGTGGGATCCCTGGTCTGGGTAACTGATCTTTAGACTTGAACTTTTTGGGTTGGAGATCAGGGATGTTCCAGGGGTGTTCCCTTTAGTCAGGGGTGTTCCATTGGGTAATATCCCTTTAGTTTTTTGGGTGTTCCACAGCCACACAAAGTTATATATTCGCTTTTTGCAGGGTCTCGCCAGCAACCAAGTGGTTTGGACGATGTTCCCTTCATGGGACCCGGCGTGGACAGGAGGCTAAACCAAAAAAGACTTCGACTGTTTTCGGTTGGACTTTTGAACGGGAACTTTAAAAAAGATAAGTGAGTTCTGGCGCAGAAAAGGGTTTCACGCTCCGTTGTACGTCAAGTTGTTTTTGTTTTAAACTCTGGATGGACACAATCCTGCACCGTTCAGAAACCCTGACATGATGACCCCCCTGTAAATACCAACAAGCCCTTTGGTGCATGTTGCTTGGCTGTTAGGACTTTAACTTTTTGCCAACTAATGGGTTTTCCACTAAACCATTAAAAGTTAAACTTTTAGCAGGGGAGCAGAAAGCAACCGAGTAACAAATGGTTTGCCTTGGTTTCATTTCGTGGTGAAATCGGTCTCGGATTTCTTCCATGCCCGGCGCCGTGCCTGAAACTGCTCAGGCACCATTGGAGCTCGACTTTGTTTCTGGCCCGCGGATGGGTGAGAGGCTGGCAAAAGGACTTGTCATCGATGGGATCCGACCCGAAACGGTGTTGCCATTTTGACACCCACTCTTAGTGGCCCCCCAAAAGTGATCACATGTGATCACCTTCTAATTTCCAGGTGTCTAAGGGGCATTGGGATTCCATGTGGTTTGTGTCAACGACCTGCGCAACGCGCGCTGGTCATTGAAAACACGCCCATGTTTTGCTGGACCGTAAGTTTCATCTTGCAGCTTGGCCAAGGGTTTTTTGGTCGCAGTATTCTTCTCAGCGGGTGTGCACTCAAGGCACGGGACATGTCGCATCGAAAACTTGCTGGTGCTCAGCAGGCTAAATCCCACTGGTGGTTTCCTTTAAGGGGACCTCTGGGTTCATTCCCGCATTTCCTACTGAGCACCAGCATGGCGAAAAAAAACGACGCGACAGTCGACTCGAGAGGCTGGTGGTTACGGAGCGCTACTGCACCATCGGACGGGCAGAGGCTTCCACAATCCAGGCGCATTTTTTTTGTGTGTATGGGAGTTCATCCTAGGTGAGCAGTTTCTACAAGGACCACCTCGATTTGAAAATTGCAACCATCCCCCCCCCCACAACAAAAAGGCATCCTCAAACAAGCCGCCCAAGTTGCTGCTTTGGTTTGCTGTACCGTGCCCGGAACAGAATCTTTATAGTCCCCTTCTTAGGTGGCTTTTGAGTATCGCCCGTTGGCTGCCAACGTTGATTGAGTTTCATTTGAGGTATATATTTGGGGTGTTCTTCAGGGCTTATGGCTATGATTCGGATGCATAAACCCCCCATGTTCAAGGGGTCATGGAGACAGGTAGCGCATCCCTGTTTCGCGCAGATCAGCGACCCCCTACTGGGCAACGTGTCCCGGTTGCATTGCACCCTGCAGCACACCGCGAAAGGCGGGGCTTTAGCGATCGAGATGCGCGATTTGAGCGGTGGGGGTGAAGCGTGTCCGTAGGACCCGCTTAGAGGCTCCCCAAAAAATAGATTTAGATCATTTCATTACCACAGCAGCCCGCTTTCTACCAGTTTGTTCAATTGCAAAGTGCTTGAAGTGCATTGTTAACTTCGAGTTGTTTTTGAGGGGGGTACCCCCCCCCCAGTTTCTGAGGAAATGATATGTTTGTCGGAATTCCTTTGTCTGATCCTACTCGCTAAAATCCGAAGTCAACAGAAACCATTGTTAGAGGGAATGGGTGTGTTTGTTTTTGAGGGTAGCCCCTTTTGGTTCGTTTTGAAGGGAAGCCAAATGACGACGACGACGACTACGACGACGACGACGACGACGACAACAACAACAACAACAACAACAACAACAACAACAACGACAACGACAACGACAACAACGACAACGACAACGACAACAACAACAACAACAACAACAACAACAACAACAAGGTACAAACAAAAACAGGGACCCCGTACATACATTATTCTTCCCTTAGTCTCTACATTTCTGTACAGACAAAAACAGGGGCCCCGTCGGTTGTTATCACCCCCCCCCAAAAAAAATAGCAAAACATATTTTGAAAGAAGTAAATACATTTCATAACAACTTACCAAAATATAAAATATAGGTTTATAATTCAATTATTAAATAAGGTTAATACATTATTCATATTCATTAACCTTATCTAATTCCTTGAAAATAATTTTACTTCATTGAAATATTATATAAGGTTAAGAAGTTATTCTACATATTAACCTTATACAATTTTATGTAAAATATTTATTAATAAAAATAATGTTAATTTTCTTCTGCCTGTTTCATTTCTAAATTTCTTTTATGCTTATTTGTTTTATTTTTGTTGTATTTCTTTATACTAGTTTTACTAGTAAAACTTCCTTGAAAATATAATCAATATTCCTTGAAACTAAATCTATAAATCCAAATCATAAATCTTACAATAAAATTAAATTGTAAGGTTTATGGTGTAATTTATAATTTAAGTTCAGGATAATAATTTAATTGATGACTGCTAAATTGTGTATATATCTTACCTCTTTCATGCATCAATTTTAAAATAATATTAATATCTCTCACTGTATTTTTGACATCAAACTTTTTCCTGTCAATATATGTTTTAATGTCTTCTTTTACATCAAACCCTTCCCTAAAATGACAAGTCAACATCCATAATATACCTTCAATCATTTCATATTTTTTCTTACTGATTTTCCGAAATGCTCTAACATAACTATAAGGTGGTCTTTCATACACAGTTAAAAATATCAAAATGTCATCTTCAACATTTCTTTCATTAAACCTTTTAATACTTAAAGTACATTTGATTAATTCTTGATAAAACCTCCAATTTCTACAAATTTTACATAAATCTTCTTCACCCAAAGCATAATCAATAATATTATGTATTATTCTATTAGGTAAATTTAATTTATACAATTCCATATTTTCTTTTTTAAAGTGGCAACAATCATAGCATTTCTTATTAATATACTTATTGATTTCAATACCGTTCATTTTCTCACTAATATATTAAGTCACTATTTCCTTAAGTCATTTTCAAAGAATGAATATAAACTTAAACTATTAACAAAATATTACAAATCATAAATCTTACAATTTATTTTTATTGTAAGGTTTATGGGTTAAAATAATAGTCAGGCAATATGTCTTCAAATATGTAATCTACATATTTACCTATATCATCTTCATCTATATATTTGATATTGTTTCTTCCTATTATTGAATAAATATATTCCCAGAAAAACAAATTAACTAATAGACATACTTTATATTTAGTGTTGTAGTAATACCATATACTATATTCAATTACTCTAAATTCGTTCAAGACTTCATTTTTTTTATCTTTGTCTAATAAATGCCAGTCAATCCATTCAAACAAATAACGGCATTTTTTGACAAATGCTTTATATGGTTTAATTGCGTTTATTCCTCCAAACCTCCTAATTAAATCTATATTATTAAAGAATTCATCAATTTCATTTTCAATTGACTTTATGGAAATCTTCTGGTAAAAGTGTATAGGAAACCTTGCTTGGTGTCGCATAAAGAATTTTAATTGTAATTGAAATTTTGTATATCCCTTATCCTTATGTTCTTCAAGAAAAAACGTTTCAAGGTCTCTTGTTATACAGCATTGATTACAATATACATTATATTCACTTATTTTATTACATAGATTGGCGGGTAATAACTTACACAATGTTATATTAACATCATTCTTTGTAGTTTTACAGAATTCGCACTTGTTATAGTTAAACAACATTTCACTATATTATATTGAGTCATTATTTCCTTAAGTCATTTTTAACGAAGTACATGAGATATTTTTTGTTTTTGTAATTCTATAAGTCTTTCATATCCTCTGACCACTCCGTCAAAACTAAACACATAATTTACAGAACTTTCACCTGCTAATTCACAAGTTTTTATTAATTCACTAAAATCTTTTTTCAACTGCGTCTCATCATGCTCTAATTCAAGGCATGATTTAAACCCTTCATAAAAGTCTTTCTTGTTAGTTTTAAAGTATTTAACATCTAGCAAAGCATATTTATCTCTTTCATCTTCATAGTGTTCTTTTACCTTTCTCATTTCTTTTATTAATTCTATTCGTTCTTTTATTTCTGCGTGTATCTTCATTACTACATTAAGTCATCATCTCTTTAATTCTCCAGTGATGATGACTATGTCATCATATTATTCTATTTTCAATAGAATAATGACCATATGCTAAACTATCACCTGTATTAGTCCAGTATCTTTTATTTTCATAACTATTCAAACTAATCTTTGTTGTTCTAATACTATAAATTTTATGGTTTTTACTTCTAATACTATTGAATGATTTATGTATAACTTCATTAGTTTGTAAAACCTTATCATATTCTTTATATGTCAGTTGCCTCCTCACTACGTGCTTTGCTGTGCCCTTGCATTTCTTATGTTCTTTTTCTTCTCCATAGATTTGAAAAGCGTAACACTTAGGACGAAGTCCAATAAACCCTGTAATAATTTTGCTACTGCATTCATCCTTAAATTTACCCAACGTCTTTTTATTAGTAGTATCATAGCATTTATGATAAATAGGATAATCTGAAAAATCCATTTCATCTTTAATATCATGAAGATCTTTATAAATGTCATCAGTCTTAGTATGAAATACAAAACTATCAGTGTCAGTATAAACCATTCTAATATTATCTCCGTATTTAGGTTTCATAACATCATAATAAAACTTATACATATGTTGCTTACTCAAATCTAAAATACTCATTCCAATGAATATATGTTTATCTAATTTCAATTGTGCTTTTTGTTTCTCAACTCCTACTAAATTATCGCTGATAATATGACTATGTTTAAACAGGGCTCCTTAAAAGATACATTTTGGCAATTTGAAACATGGCTTTTTCCACCAAAATAAAGGGACACCACCATTTGCAAGGCAATGTTCAGGTGTATAATGTAAGGATCCCTGTTAAATGATGGATTATTAACACATTTCATAAATCTTGTTTCATCACTCACTATTTCAAAATCTAAGTGTTTCCTTTTGTCTTCCATCGTTTTTCCGAACACGGCATTATTCATTAATTTGTAAACATCTTTCTCAAAATCATTGTTGGCATTCTTTCTGTTCTCAGTGTTAAATTCAATGTAAGGTTTTAATATCTCTTTCTGACTGAATTTTATTGCTCTGTGTATTTTCTTTAGTTTCAATCCGTGTTCTAAATAAAACTGTAAAGTTCTAATATGGACTACATACTTTTCTTTGTCTTTTAAATTCAATATTAATTTATTTGTTTTTTCATCTTTAGGTTTTTTCTTATTCAGTATTTCATATATTTCAACTTGTTTATCTGATAACATATCTGCTTCAACATTCATAATTTCAGGTGCCATTGGATAGTCATTGTGTAAATCGTGTAGTTCTTTAGGGTATTCTAAATCAACCTCTAAGATGTATCCAGTATTACCATTAGCATAGTTTAAAATATCATCTTCTGTTATTTTAGTATCCCACTTTAAATTTTGGTATGGCAGTTTTTGTATCATTGCTAATCCATATAAGTTATTAGCACCAAAATAGTTAATATAACTACTTTCTTTGCTTTCATCAAAATCATCGCCCATATAAATATTATTTGCCTCTACTTTCTTACAGGCAGTCTGTGTCATCCCACCACGAAGTCCGGTCTCTATCATTTCATACATATCTTGGTCATAAACTAAATCTATTTCAACACCAGTTAATTTTAACATAGCATCAAAAGCAAAATTAGGCAGTGTGTAATAATATACTGGATCTAAACCGTAATCTTGAATACACACATCTCTAAAATTTTCAAAAATATCAGTTAATAATAAAACATCTGTTTTCAAATACAAATCGTGATATTCACCCATGTTTTTAATCTTAAAGTGTTTCCATATTACTTTTGCTTTTTCATAGTCTTCATCCGTTATATTATCCTCACTTAATCTACTGTAAAACATATCTTTAGTTGGTAAACTTTCATCTTCAAACTTTTCTATTGAATTCATATAGTCATACGGATAAACTCCCTTCTCTGTTAATAAGTCCAAACATTTTTCACTTTTAATAATATCATTATTTTTACTAAATCTAAAATTGTTCTGCCAGTTGTCTTTTATTATCCATTTTCTTTTATCTTTATCATCTGTGTTATCATATTTTGTCAATGATACTAATTTATCTAAAGAAGCAGTTATAAAACTAAAACTGCCTTAACACTTAAACAATCAAAACCGATATTAATAAACTTTTCACTGTTCTGTGCTATTACATCTATTTTCTTCTGATTACTTAACTTATCAGCATTTTGAATAATTAAATGTCCATCATAATTTTTCATATTATGGAAAAACACAGGTATTTTAAAATATTTATGACAAAAGTTTAAATTACAAATGCTATGAGCACAACCCCTATATTTACCTGTGAAATG